GGGCACTGTTTTTTTCTATCGGTGGAATGTTGCGCGACTGAACGGGGTAGGGGCCAAGTGGCCCAGGACAAACGGTTGGTAGAATAGCCTAGCTCGGTATGAAGAAACACCATGGACATATGAAATGGGAGGACCAATAATATTATACCTCCATTTATGTAAAAAATAGTATATATGCCCGTGAGTTACAATGGTAGAAACAATTGACATATATTTAGTGAGGACTCTATGCGCAAACATAATGTTCAGTGTGTTATAAATTTGGTGCAAGCTTAGTAAGGATTATAAGTGCAAGGAAAAAATGTCAGGTTGTCTGTTGCAACGAAAGAAAAGAATAGCTTGAATTAGTGGGGATCATGTAGGAAAAGAATGGCACTTCATCTTTATTCGTAAGATAAGATATGAATGAGGGCCCACGTTCTTCAAAAAATCTGTAATTACCGTATATTTACTTCCCCACTCTTTCCTTTCTCCTTCCTTCTTTATTTCTCATGCAATTAGTGTCTATTTTATTTCTTTTTCTTTCCTTATATCATCCATGTGACGAATCCCATTTGTCGGTCTATTAATTACTCCTGCTATTAATATGGCGTCCACAATAATTACCGTCTATTGCCTTCCTCTCTCTTTCCTTTCTTCTTCATTCTTTATTTCTCATGCAATGTCTATTCCTTTCTTTTCGGCTTCATATAATTGAAGTCTATTTCCTTCCTCTCTTTCCTTTCTCCTTCCTTTTTTATTTCTCACTATTTCCTTCCTCTCTTTCCTTTCTCTTTCCTTTTTTATTTCTCATATGCAATGTCTATTTCCTTCCTCTCTCTCCTATTGCTCTGCCCCTCATTTTTTCCGTCAAGTACAAATCTTATTCATGCCATATTCTTTGCTTAATTTCTGAAGCAGCTCCTTGATGCTTGACAACCTAAGAACGTATATAAACTGGTAAAAATTTATGTAAAATAGCAAGGTGGGACTATTTATGAAAAACAGACTCCAGCCTGCTCACCTTGTCCGTCCAATGGGCCGCAGCAGTCGGCCCGGCCCAGCACGCCCGTACTCATTTCCTCAGCCCGTCTACGCGTCATCTTCCATTCTTAAAAGGCCGGACAACTACATTAACATACTCATAAGCGTAGCCCAACTGGTCTGCTTTGTTGTCTACATCCTGTAGACCAGGGATCAAATCCCACCTTTCACCAATTTTTTCCCTGTTTTTTTTTAATTCAAACTGAAAGCATAAAATCACGGGAAGAAGCATATTATGACGGTGAACCCACGGAGTCAATTCATGCTTTATTACTACTAGGGAAAAACTAGCAAAAGGGCCCGTGCGTTGCAAAAGGGCCCGTCGGTCTTTTAGATTCGGCAATCTACGGTTTTCAGTTACAACATTATCGACTTGTTCATGTTGAGTAGCATTGTATATCAATGGGAGAGGAAACATCAACATTGTTCATTCCTTCTTTATTAGCTCTGGGAAAAACTAGCAAAAGGGCCCGTGCGTTGCAAAAGGGCCCGTCAGTCTTTTAGATTCGGCAATCTACGGTTTTCAGTTACAACATTATCGACTTGTTCATGTTGAGTAGCATTGTATATCAATGGGAGAGGAAACATCAACATTCTTCATTCCTTCTTTATGAGCTCTCTCTTGTATGTCACTTTATATGGCCACACAGTCCTCTTTTATTGTCATGTTATAGCTACATACCTCAACGCACGTAATGCTCATTCTTTTTTTACCGGGTCACTCTCTTATTGCCACGTTATAGCCACACACATCTCAACCCCGTACACAACTTGCATTCCTTCTTTACTGGCTCTGTCATTGTAAAATTATAGCCACACCTCACTCTATGTTTTGTTTATTTCCGGAGAGGCTTGTTGAATGTCTATATGGGAATATATATAAATATATGAGATCTTGTGTGAGTTATCGAAATAGTACTATTAGTTAATGAGCACTTTTACGGTACCCTGGTACTCCCATAGCATAGAGTGGAGTACCAAATGAATCTGGCCGTCCATGATGAGGGGTAACTTAGTCATTTTCCGAAGGTTACGTTGGGCCTTTTCTGTGTCATCTCATCCCGATAGAGGCCAATAATTTCGGATCTCACGGGCCCTGATCGTTTAGTTTCCAAACAAACCTCTCGATCCTGCATCGCAACTGAGAGTCTCGGAGGCGCACCGATCCCAGCCAAATCCAAATTTCTCTTCACTCCATGGGAGTAACCTGCTCTGAAGATGATGGATCAGATCGTGGGTGCTAGGGGTGTCGTTCGGGAGGATGAGGCATAAAGAAATGGAGAAAGACGGAGCTGATCGTGGGGGCGAGCGAGGTAGACGGACCTGATTGTGGAGGGACGAGCATGGCGGCGGCGGCGGCGGTGTTCACGGACGTAAACGAGGGCTGCACGTCATTCGTAGGAACCATAGAAAATACTAAAATGCGTAGAAATAACAAAATGATTGTTGCGATTACAATTTTGCCCTATTGATCAAGGTACTCTGTTACTTTTCACCTTGGTACTCCACGGAATAATAAATGGAGTACAACATCATACTGATCATCGGATTGACAACTGTATTAGTTTAAGGGTACCGTAAAAGAGCTCTAGTTAATAAGAGAACATTTTTGGCAGAACCGAAAGCTGGCCTACCACAATTTGCCTGCCTTGCCTCAACACCGGCCTACCTGACCACCCTTTTTAGCCGGCCCACGCCTGACAAACCCTAGCGCAGCTCGATACCCTCCTCCTTCCCTTGTGCCTAAGGGTGAGTGTAAAAACCGAGAACCAAAGACGAAAAAACAGGAACCAAAGTGAAAAAAACTGAGGACTGAAACTTTGATTGTTCCATCGGTTCGTGAATGATGAAAACCGGAATTATTGAGTTGAGCTCGGTCATTGGAATTTGCTAACCGAATTCCCAAATTAACTGAAATACAGTAATTAAAGCCGGCCAATTAAGACCTATGACCCATTCACGTTAAAAAAACTACATGGAACTTTCCTCCACCCTTTTTCTCAGCCACAAATGCAGTCCCCACACCACGTAGAATAAAAGACGCAACTCTCGCATGGTTTCTACCCTTCCTTTTTTTGAGCAAAATGATTTCTACCCTCCGAATAGAGGGAAATCCCTTCTTTTCTTTAAAAACAGGCCGGCCCATTCCAGCATACCCCATCCAGCCAAAGGCCCAGCCGGGCCTCCACTTATCCCCACCACTTAGAGAACCGTAGCCCGATTCTCACTCGTCCGCCTCCCTCCTCTCGATCCCCTCGACCTCACCTCGCGCCGCCAGGAGGAGAGGAGCAGCGCGCGCCCGATCCCCTGCACCGGTCGGCCGCTGCCGCCGGCGAGGTCCTCCACCGCCGCCACCCGCGTCTCTCGCGCGTTCTCCTCCTCCCTCTGTGCCCCATTGCCCCACTCTCACCCTCTTTCTCTTCCCTGCTGGCGCTGAAGGAAGCCATGGCCGCCTCCTTTCAGTTCGCGCCGATGCGTTTCCGGTTGCCCCGTTGCCAGCATCTCCCATCCACGACGCTCCCCTCTGCTCGTCTTATTGCTACCCCCTGCAAGCCTGCGTCGCCATGGTCCATGGCGTCGACGCCGGCGAACCCCTCACCCCCGGACGACTCTCCATGTCTCCTCCATCTCCGCGCATGCCTCCCGCCTCGCTGCGGCCGCCAGATGTGACAAGCGCAACAATAAGGATTGCGGGTTGAAGAACGAATATTTTTTTGGTTTAGCCACTTAAAAAAGGGTGTGCGGGTTGATTAAATAAAATGTCAGGGGCCTCTTGAAAAAACGCTGCGACGGTGAACCCGAAGACTCAATCTGTGCATTATTATTATAGGGAGACTAGCACATATGCCCGTGAGTTGCAACGGAAGATGAAAAAAGTATTTTGCAATGGATCTACGCTCAAACACATACTATTAACAACACATACTGAATTGAAAGTTCATAACAGACCGATATTCTGATGGCTGCATCAAACATTGATCGAGACACATGTGCTTCGCTGAAGAACAAATGTCAATTTTCATCAAGCAGGATTGGCAGATCATGGAGACACGCGTCATAGCTCGGGGCTTGGCTGCTTTTGGACTGGGTGAACAACCTGGTGTCTGTGGAGGTCACGACCATCGCCTTCACCATCCGTTTATTTGGATTTTTTGTAATCTTGAGGCGGGTGAGTATGGCGGCTGGGGCAGAAAAGATAATCTTATATTGTGCTCGATAAAGTTGTTGCTAAGCTCGTCCTTGACTCCTTGTCGAGGTAGAAGGTGAGGGTATATCATTTATAATTGATGTCCTCCTCACCGCCGTTGCTTGTGTGAGCCAAGGTGACGGTCGCAAAGTAGGACTTTTGCAGAAGAAATCCTATATGTCTGGGTCGTATGGATCTAAACAGGAGACCCTCTTCCCCTCGTGACACCTGGCAAACTGGATCTTATGAAGGAGGAGAAAAGAAAGAGTTCCGCGGGATCAAAATCTGGTCAAAGCTCGCAATCCAGTGGTAGAAGCTCTTATCATGAAGATAATTGCTGGGAAGCACAACCAGCTCCAAAGGACATATCAGGCGCAAAGAAATCAGAATCAGAGGAGGTTCAAGATGAGATCATTTCTCCAATAAAGTTACAAGACCAAAGTATGAAACAGAAAGCTATACAAAAGCTTGGGAAGGTGAGCAAGGAGCTCTTTCCACTTCGGACCGAGGCTACCAAAATAGCCGGGCAAAAGAGAAAGCAAATTAAGGTCTACAGACCTAAAGGGCAGGGTCAGAATCCTCAAGAGAAGCTGATGCAAGAGACTTACAACCTTGACCTGACAGCAAGTGGACTAGACACTAATACCTGCGATACTAATCTGGTTCTAGTTCCATGTAGGTATGAAAATCAAGATGATTGCTATAAGAAGCAGAAGAAGGAAACCGTCGCTCATACATCAGGATCGGCGGATCAGGCGGCGGCTGCAGTAGAGCAGCCCCGCCACACGCAATGAGTTTCCTATGTTGGAACTGTCGCGGACTAGGGACGGACGCGACAGTTGGTGAGCTGAAATGGCTCGTTGGCAAGTTTCGTCCCTCCCTCCTCTTCTTGTCCGAGACGAAGATGAGGGATTCAAGAGCTCGGAAATTCATGTGGCAGTTGGGATTCAATGGTTCTTTTGCTGTGAGTAGTGATGGCCTGAGTGGAGGGCTGGTTCTGTTTTGGTCTTCATCCATATCAGTCTCGCTGAGAGCTTTTTCAAATCAGATTATTGACATTTTGATCAAAACAGAAGAGGGTGCAGAGTGGCGTACAACCTTTGTTTATGGGGAACCAAAAAGGGAATTAAGGCACCATTTCTGGGACAGGCTCAGGTTCCTGAATGCTCAATGGAAAGGTCCATGGATATGTGCAGGTGATTTCAATGAAGCGTTGCATGGTGAGGAGCATATGGGCGTCAGGGGTAGGGATGACAATCAAATGATGATGTTCCGAGAGTGCCTAGATGAGTGTGGGCTAATAGATTTGGGGTATATTGGTCCTAAATATACATGGTCCAATAGGCAGGAGGATGGGCGTAATGTCAGGGTGAGACTTGACAGGGCAATTGCAAATGGTGATTTCCTACAACTTTTTGATGACTGCACTGTAGAGAACATTATAACAACATCATCTGATCATCTTGCCATATTAGTGAAGATAGCAAATAAAGGTAGACAAGGTGCTATCAACCATGTACTTCGATCCTTTAAATTCGAAGCTGCATGGACGAGAGCACCTGATTATGTGCAAATGATCAACGAAAATTGGGGAAAACTTAAGGAGGGCCCCCCTTCCCTGAACAATACTTGGTCTGCTCTAAACAGATTGTCAACAACCCTTCAAACTTGGAGCAGAGAATCTTTTGGTTCGGTAAAGAAGGAGATAAAGAAGCTGGAAAAGAAATTAGCTTCATTACGAAGGAACAACATGGCTATTGGTTATTCCAGAGAGGAAAAGGAAGTGGAGAAGAAACTTTATGAGATGTTTGAAAGAGAAGAAATCATGGCCAAGCAACGATCAAGAATTGATTGGCTTCATGAGGGTGATCGAAATACTTCTTTTTTCCATGCACGCGCTTCTGCAAGAAGAAGAACCAACAAAATTAAAGCCTTGAGGAGAGTTGATGGATCACTGTGTGAAGATCCTGAGGGTATCAGGAGTATGGTACATGACTTCTATTCCAATATGTTCACCTCTGAACCCTGTGACTCTCTGGAATTGGTCCTAGAGGCTATACCATGCAAGGTAACTGAGGATATGAATGAAGATCTGTGCAAGGAATATACTAATGAAGAAATTAGGACTGCATTATTCCAGATGGGTCCAACCAAGGCACCAGGGCCAGATGGTTTCCCAGCATTATTTTATCAGATTCATTGGGATGTTTTGGCAGAAGATATATGTGCAGCAATTAAAGGCTTCCTTTTGGGACAGGACATTCCAGAAGGCTTCTGTGATTCGGTAATTGTTCTTATCCCAAAAGTTAATAATCCTGATATGCTCTCTAACTTCCGGCCAATAAGTTTATGCAATGTCATTTATAAAATAGCCTCTAAAGTAATCTCTAATCGCCTTAAACTCTTTTTGTCGAAGATAATATCACAGCAACAAAGTGCCTTTGTGCCGGGGAGGCTAATTACGGACAATGTTATAGTGGCATATGAATGTCTCCACACAATTCGAAAGCAGAAGGCAAAATATCCTTTCTTTGCCCTTAAAATAGATATGTCAAAAGCTTATGATAGGGTAGAGTGGAATTACCTCGAAGGAGTTCTATTGAAACTGGGATTCAGGGCTAATTGGGTGGAGATGGTTATGAGATGCATAACCTCGGCTAGATATGCCGTTAAGTGAATGGTGAATTAACCGAATCTTTTGTGCCAACTAGGGGCATTAGACAAGGGGACCCTGTTAGTCCTTACCTGTTTTTATTGTGTGCTGAAGGCCTTTCTTGCTTGTTGCAGCAAAAAGAAGCATCTGGTCAGCTGAAGGGCATCCGTAATGGCAGAAATGGACCGCCTATTTCCCATTTACTGTTCGCCGATGATAGTGTGTTCTTCACCAGGGGAGATAATAGAAGCACCAATGCACTTAAATCGGTACTGCAAAGCTACTGTGAGGGATCAGGACAGAGGATAAACCTTCAGAAATCTTCTATTTTCTTTGGTTTACACTGTGATGTACAGATCAAGGATTTTGTGAAGCAAACTTTGGGGGTGCAAGATGAGACACTGCAAACAACATACCTTGGCATGCCGACCTGGGTTGGACGGTCCCCAACGAGTAACTTTAATTTCCTCCCTGGTCGGATATGGAAACGCCTCAACGGGTGTAGTGATCGACCTTTGTCAAGGGCCGGTAAGGAGGTTCTGTTGAAGTCAGTGGCTCAGGCCATTCCAACGTATGTCATGAGTTGCTTCCAGATTCCATTAAGTATATGTGAGAAGATGAGACAACCAATATCTAATTTCTGGTGGGGTATTGAAGATGGAAAGAAAAAGTTACATTGGAGATCATGGGATTGGTTATCATCACCAAAGTATGTGGGCGGATTGGGATTCCGAGACATGGCCATTTTTAATCAAGCAATGCTTGGAAAACAATGTTGGAGGTTGTTGACCGAGCCAAACTCGTTGTGCGCACAAGTACTTAGAGGTCGATATTATCCAAATGGGGACTTCTGGACAGCTCAGTGCCCAAGATCATCATCATATGTTTGGCGCAGCATTATGCATGGGAAAAAGCTGATCCGGAAAGGTATACTATGGAGAGTAGGTAATGGTAAGCACATCGACATCTTGAGGGATCATTGGATCCCGGATACCATACCTGCCACTTTATTATCTTACTCTTCCACTCTACATAACAAAAAAGTTAACACCCTTATGTTGGAGAACGAGAATAAATGGAATGAAAATTTGATAAGAAACATTTTTCCAGAAGAAATTGCTGGGAAAATCTTAAGCATTCCTATTAGCTCTGAGGGTTGGGATGATTTTCCATCTTGGATATACTCCAAAAATGGTGCTTACACTGTCAGATCACCATATAATTTAGTAAGAACGTATCAGTTTTGGAGTAACCGAAGCATTTCAGGTAAAGGATCATCATCAAAACAAGATTATTTGGAGAAGGTGTGGAAGAGACTTTGGGCCATTCAGTGCCCTAACAAGATGAAGATCATGCTCTGGAGAATAGCACACAACTGCTTACCTACAGGCTCTCAACTTCAGACACGATCGATACCCACAAGGTATGACTGCTATTTTTGCAACAGAGAGGAAAATGTTGAACATTGTTTTCTACAATGCCAATATGTAAAAGAAATCTGGAAGGAATTAAAAAAGAGCTATGGAATTTGTCTAAAACTAAAGAATTTTACTCATATTAGACAATGGCTGCTAGGATGGATAGTGGAAGCAACACCCTACGAAGCTATGATTATGGCCGTTGTTATGTGGCACATTTGGGAGAACAGGAACAACTATCGCAATGGCGAGGCACTAGTTAATCCTCTTCGCGTGGTGGGGAAAATCAAGGCTTATATTGAATTCATTACAGAGTATAAGATCAGCCCAACAGGTTTCAACAGACGTGAGACCTTTACATCAACCCAAAAATGGTCTCCGCCGCCGGAAGGTTGGTTGCTGATCAATGTAGATGCTGCGATTTTCTCCCACTCAGGACGGGCTGGCTATGGAGTTGTAGTGCGAGACCATCGAGGGACACTTTTGTCTGCATACCGAGGTTCCTATATTGATCATATTCAAAACCCAGAAGCGGCTGAAGCTATTGCTGTTCGTCAAGCGCTCATCGCTGCTGAAGATGCTGGTTTTAATAAGATTCAGGTGGTCTCCGATTGCTTGTCGCTGATGAACAAGGTTCGGGATAGGAGTTTCGACAGGTCCCCTTCAGGTGCCATAGTCCAGGATATTAAAAGTAGGGCCACAAAGTTCTTATCTTGTGATTTTATCCATGTCAAACGTGGTTGTAATGAGGCAGCTCATGTACTGGCAAAATCTGCAGAATTTGATGTTGGGTCGTGTTGGTCTAGCGAGCCACCTGATCAAATCAGGGCCATTATTTGTAATGAACATATTTCTAAGTGAATGGATGTAAGGGTGCTGCCCATTATTTTCAAAAAAAAAAAAGCATCTCATCGTTCTCTTCACTAATTTCTGCAGCCAATGTTCAATCTGTCCAACGTCCCAGCCGCCGCCCGCCGGTGTTATCCGCCATGCCTGCTTGCTGGATCTTTGCCGGCGTGCACCTCGACGCCAGGCCCAATTCCCCAGCTTGGCACACATCATCCCCGCCGGCAGCAGCCGTGTTCGTTGGCGGCCTACTCGCGGCCCGAGCACTCGATGCCCTCCACATCCAGCCATGTGCAAGCCCGTCACCGTCGGACGAAACTCGCTAGCTCGTGGCGCTCCATGCCTGTTGGAAACGGCCACGCTCGTCAGCGGCAAAGCTCACGGAACAACCCCAACTGCTTGTCTTTGTCGGCCACGGTCATGCTCCTCATCGACACCATCGACGCACTACTTAGTCTGCAAGCACCCGTCGGTTGTGGCCAAGCTTCTCACCGCCCGTGTGTGATTCCATTGCGTCTCGGCTTCCCTGGACTGGACGACGGCATGTTTCCTTGTGAATCTCAAGAACGACATTTCTTTTTTCTACTGAAATTTCGGTTTGCCAAGTGTCACGCGGAGAAGAGGGTCTCCACTCTCCAGTTTGGGTTAGTACGACCCGGTCGTACAGGATTTTTTTGGGACTTCTGCCCGTAACCAATTGCCAACTTCGACTATGCAATTCTTATGAAGGAAGAATGCTTGGTCAGTGTTCTCAAGATCTTGCTTTTGCAGGAGCTCCCATGGCAGTATGCTTCTTGATTCATCGACAGTGACACGTAAGCATGCGATTTGGAGATAAAAAGATTTAAGACAATTTGAAGTATTTATCGATCTTTGACAAATTGGTTATATTTCAAATACATGCTGATCTAGCAATTCATATTTCTTTTGCTTGGAGATGTTCTTGATTCCTATAATGTAGAGTTATTCGATATATCAATCATAATAGAAAATAGAAACTGAAAGGCATACTCTCTCGAAAAGAAATGGACGGGTGTTTGTTTTACTTTTGTGCATGTGCATGCCATTAAAATTTGGACAACTCACCACAATATGAAAGAAGTCACATGCATGTGCATCTCTCACAGAGCACGCGGCAAAACTTGCCAGCCAGCTTTCAACACATGTCTCTACTCCCACTACGTGTTGCATAGGACACCATCTCATGACGGCGGATTCATATGATATGAACTCCATAGCTCCACAACACAACACAGCATGCCTGCACAGACACGCCAGTGACAAGCGAAAGGAGGACACATGCATGCGTATGGCGCGAAGAGCGGCCGACACGGAGGATTGGCGTCGCAACGCTGACATGCAAAGGATGAGCCCGGAGGAGGTACATGCGGCGGGGGTGTAGGAGTCCATGCGCTAGCCAGCCGCGGTGGCGTCCCACAGAAGGTTCTGCACCGGCGAGGTGGCCGCCTGTTGTACGGGCTCGGGCGATGGCACGCGCTGATGTGGTTCGGCATGAACTATCGGTGTCCTCGGCTATCTAGTGTTCTACCAGAATCCAGAAGGCAAGGCCCTGCACTACGGCCACAGAGGCCGCCGACGTGGACATTGGACACGGCAGCGGCCCAGCACTACAGCCACAGAGGTCGCCAACCTGTGGACATTTGACACAGCAGCGGCCCAGCAGAGGTCGTGAGGATGCCGACTACTGCACAGGGCTGGGACGATGGCACTGACGGGGTTCGGTATCATCGTCGTCATCAGCTATTAAGTGATGTACAAGAAGGCGAGGCCCGGCCCTATAGCTATGGAGGTTGCCAAGGTCGCTGTCGGGCACGGAGATCGGCCTTCTTCGCCAGCAAGGTTAGACCTGTCCTTCTCCAGCACTCTGATCACGGGCAGGACAACGATATGAGGCCGAGTGGTCGCCGTCCGGCAGTACTGACACAGCATGCGACGGGTAGATGTAGGTCAATCCCACCCAGATCGAGACAATAGGCCTAGAAGAGGAGACTTGGTTGCGACTGTATTTATTGGAGGAGGGCCGGGGCGTGGCTGGGTGTGTTTCTGTCGTTTACGGCAAGTCATGACAATGTATTGTATTGGGACTTTCTATAGGTGTGGCTTCGGGCGTACATGACCTTTTTTTTCCAGCGCTAGTGAACACGGCAAACGACCTCAGATGAATAGTACCACCTCGTATGTAGAAAATAATATAGGTGAAAAAAAACTGAAAGCGTAAATTCACGTGAAAAGCGTATTGTGACGGTGAACCCGAGAGACTCAATCCGTGCTTTATTATTAGGGAGAGATTAGGGAGAGACGATGCTAGCAAATATGCCCGTGCGTTGCAACGGGAGAAAAACACATGCCCCTAAACCAAATATGCGTCGCGGCGGAAATGTGTGCGCTGAGGAATAACATGAAGGATAATTTCGATTTCAGCCAACCAATTTTTACAAATGGCTAATAAACTTATGCACTGTACAATTTGCGAGTTTGATTAAAGACAGTCATCTCCAACTGTGATGAAAAATAAACTCAAGCATAAGAATAAAAATACATACAAAAGATAACAAAATTCAAAGTACCGAAACATAAATTTTTTCCATTGCATATTTCTGCCTTTCTACGTGCGCATTTTTTTCTTTTGTGTTGGCTTCATGTTTGAATATTTCTTCCTCCCTTGTGTCTTATTTTGCAACGGGATTGAATCTTAATTGTTTTATTTTGCCGATAGGTTTCACGATATTTTTTTGGGTTTTTCTATTTTTCTTCATTGGTCGTACGTGCATACCATTCTCTATCCCTTTTCCTTCTTTGTTACTTTTTTTTGAGACAACTCCTTTTTGGTTACTTGGTACCAGTGACCTGAGATTGTGATCCAAATCGCTTGCCTGCATGAGAGCTTCTTATATTGTATGCATCCGTTATTAATTAAAAAAGAATCTGAATAGATTTTGCATCATTAATTGTTGGATGTGTTGATAGAGCGTCCATTTTTTGCTGACATTGAAGCGGCACACATTTTCCGTCTAACTTCAGTTCTAGATCGGATGTGAATGCAATGAATCACAATAATCTTTTTTTCTTGGGTACTCACATATTTCTCTTTGCTTCCTTAAATATCATGTTCTGATCACAACTCACGAGCCTCTCCTTTCCTTTCTTAGCGCCCCCTGACGCAACATGAATCACGGCTATTTCTCTTTGCTTCCTTATTTCTGAAATCACAATCCTCTTTCCCTCCTTACTTAGCGCCTCTCTCTTTCCTTCCTTACTTAGCCCTCTTGAGGAACGTGAATCACGTCCGTTTCTCCTTGTTTCCTCATTTCTGAAATCAGCCCCTCTTTCCTTCTTTAGCCCCTCTCTCTTTCCTTCCTTAGCATCTCTCTCTTTCTCTCTTATTTCCAAGACGACTTCTTAACTACCAGGGAATTTAATGACATATATAAATTGGGTGGATCACATGTAAGGAGGCGATGTGGTATTATTTGACAGGCGAGTTGACCTTTCGATTTCTCTACTATTAAAAGAGAATCGAACGTCGTGATGGTTCGACCTCCTACCCTATCGATACCCCTTCCCCCACCCTTGGTACGTTAAAAAAAATCAGGAAAACTACCCACCGCTTCAAAAAAACAGCGCAGAGAAAGGAGAGAAAAACAGAGCCCACGACCCACCCACGAACACACGTCCCATCCTCCATCTCCCCTCACCCCAAAGAAAAGAGAAACAGCCCAACCAATCTCTCCTCTCTTGACAAATTCGCCGCCGCCGCTCCCCTCATCGTCCTGTCCTGGTCATCGTGGCTGCGGTCCTGGCCGTGGACGTCGCCGCCGGCCCCGCACTCCCATCTGCATGAGGATCATCTATTCTCCGTCTCAATTCCCTCCACCCCCCTCGATTCCAATCTAATCTCTCCCGAGAAACTTCACTCGACTCGGCCGTGGCGAAGATGGCCGACGGCTCGCCGTCTGGCTTTCTCGCTGTTGAGCCCTGTTCCGCCTCCGCCCTCCATCCACTTGCTCCAAGACGTCTTCCGCGGCCGTCAGCTTCCATGATTTGGGTGTGCGTCCTCTACGTGAATTCGACGGGTCGTCTTCATCGCAGGCGGCCATGGGGAGGACACATGTGGCGAAGCACATGGGGTACGAGGACGCGTAGAAGGCAAACATGTGAGGTCTAGGGTATGGAATCAGCCATCGCCATGGAATGGTTCTACAGAGGAGGAATTACAGGATGAAGCTCTCGCAGGAGCGCACACCACATACGCAACACTAGCCGTTATCCTCTCGCCATCGTTTTCGGTCTTGGAGCAGGGTACTTGTAGTCGGTTCCTAGGGCCATTCTGGCCCAGCTAGCCGAGCCGGGAGGCGAGGCTGTCGCTTGGGCCTACTCTTCTCCTCGCTTGGTTCTT